TAAGCGAAAACTGATCTTGGTGGTCTTGTACTCTTACTTCAAGCCACAGAAAGAACACTGTATTCAGAGATGTTAGGGTACCCTAGGACCACATCTATGACATTGTTTTTAAGGAGAAGATGTGCTCCAAGTGCCAAGTAGCCAACTAACCAAAATTTTGGCTCATTTTGTTTTCTGTGTTTGTTCAGAAGGATACATGTATTCCATGTTTATTTTAATTATGTTTATTAAGCTCAAAATTCTAGAGGACATCAGTTATTTTTTTCACTTTAAAAATATTTTAACTGACATTCTTCTCAATTTATTCAGTTGGTGGAACTTCATGTTTTCTATGTCCCTGAAGGATCATGGAACTATAAGCTAAATACCATTTCAATAGAAGTTGTTAACAAATTCATTTCAGCTGGATTTATAAGGCAAGTATTTTGTGGTCATGTTATAATGTGCCTGAAAAGCAATCTTTTTTTCTGCAGAGAAAAATGTTTTTTGGAAATTTAAGTTGTAAGTGAAAAACTCTGGTCCATGTTATGGATCCAGTTTCTAACTTAATACTATCAATAAATAATGCTATGTAACAGTTAATAAGTACTGTAGAAACAGATGTCACTTAGCCAGGTGTCACTGACACCCAGAGAAAAGGGTATAACTGGTGTATTACTATCATTACACACAAAGAGAATTAATAGAGAAATTATCTGTATTTAGAAACCTGTTGAAGAGCTGTGAATAGTGGTTAAATCAGTATATCCACAATGACTTTTTTCACTGAACTGTTTCAAAATCGAAACAGACTATATGTGTACATACACTTACATGTATGTATATGTAAGTGTATATACACGTATGAAGCGCACATGACATTATTCCTTATTTTCCCCATCACTTCAAGCATACTGGCCTTGTTTTTGTTCTGGAACACATCAGACATGGACCTACCTCAGGACCCTTGTACTTGCTCTTCTCTTAGTCTAGAATGCTCTTTCTGCCATTAGATATTCTATCTCTTCTTTAGCTCTTTACTTCAATATTACTTTTTTGTTTAGATCTTCTCTGATCACTATATTTAAAATTGTAGCTACTCTTCCTTCCCTGCTTTATTTTTCTTTATAATACTTAGCAGTGTCTTATGAATTATATGTTTTCATAATTTGTCTATTTTTCTTTCCCACCATTAAATTTATAAAGTCTATAAGAGCAGAGATTTTTGTCTCTTTTGTTGATTGCCATTTTCCCATCCTTAGAACAATGCCTGACACATAGTGGGGGCTCAATAAATATTTTTTGGTTGAATGAATTAATTACATAATGTTTCCCATAAGATCCTAGAAAAACAAAAACTCAAAACAGTACCATAAATGATGGCTTTAAATTTTAGATGTTGAGGAGTGAAGTATTCCTAATGAGCAAAGATGTGGAGTCTGACAATACTTGATTATCAAAGAAATTTTTAAGCACTAGCTAATCCTGTCAAACTTCCAAAATAAATATCTGTGGCTAAATCATTCTTTAATGTATGTATAAAAGTATATAAATTCCATAGCAAAGTTTTTTTTTTAATAATACAGTTCGGAGTATCCTTCTGTGTTGATGATGAGAAAAGTAGACAAGCATTTTCCTTTTCAGTACACAAAGGACTTTTATAAACAGTATTTATTTGCATAATCATTTTATTTTTTAAAAATTTCCTGAAGTTTTACAAAGTGCCACACAATGTAAAAACACAATATATTGATCTATATGTGATACAATTAGTATTTATGTTTGAGATAGCTGACTAATGTTATAGAATTTGTAGTATAGCTGAAACCTATTTCATTTTACATTATAAGGCAATGTCATGATATTTCAGAGTATCTCCTCACCTTACTTTACAAGCGCTGAGAGAGCGACTTGGTGAGTTCCTTGGTGAAGATGCTGTTGCAGAAAAATTTTTATTTCTGAAATGCATTGGAAATAATCTAGCTGTGGTAAGTTTTCTTATTTTTTTCCTTTTGATTAAAAAAAAGCATAACTTAACAAATTATGTTTTTTAAATGCTTATCAACTCAGCTTCTTGTCAACTCAGCTTCTATAAATGGGATAAGTATTATCAATCATAACAAAATGGAAATATCACTAAATACATAGATCTTCAAGAAAGAAATGGGTCTTATTGGCATATTATTGGGCACTAAAAGGATGGGGATATTTTGGAGTGTGCATTTCCTTGGGAAGAAAAGGAAGACAAAGTTAAAATGTGATTACGTAGGTAATATGTATTTTTAAATTTAAATGAGTGTTTAAAAACTTTTTTTTTTTTTGAGAGCGAGAGAGAAAGCATGCGCATGTGTGTGCATGAGCTGGGGCGGGGGGTGCGGGGCATGGGGCAAAGGGAAAGAGAGAATCTTAAGCAGTCTTCACATTCAATGTGAGCCTGACATAGGGCTCAATCTCACAACCCTGAATCCAAATCATGGGTCAGCCGTTCAACTGACTGAGCCACCCAGGCGCCCCCTAAAACATTTAAATAAGTACTTGTGTTCTGGACAAAAATGGGTTCTCATTGTTCGGGCCACAGCTAGTCTCATTTGATGTGAAATGATGGGACTCCAACAATTGTTTGTTTGTTTGTTTCAACTATTATCTCTTGAACACTCCTGTTTATAGTTTCTGTGATTTAATGGCAGGATTTTCTAAGTAGAATTTTCCTAGCTGAAATTCTTAATCCAGCAAGCTATCAGATCTCAAAGTTTCTGGTTTAACTACGTAAGGTTTATTTCTTTAATCAAGATTTTCTATATTAAAAATAAAGTATATTCCTATTTCACTCTAATTAACATATTGTCATTAGTATTTATGTGATTGTTTATTTAACATCTGACTCTGCCATTAGACTCTATTTGATTATCAAAGAAATTTTTATGTAACTCCCTGTGAGCTGGGACTTTATTCACAAGTATTTATACGGTGCCTAACAAAGTGTTTAGCACTTAGAGGCATTTAAATGCTTATTGGACAAATTAAATAATGAATGATAATGGGGAAAAAAAGCATTCCCAAAGTAAAGGAATTTGCTATGTGGAATTCTCAAGATCAGCAGCTAAATATGAAGTTTTTGTCATTTGAATTCTATTCAGTATGGTAAAATATCAATTTACTCATCTTTAAGTTTTTCTCAAACAAGGAAGAAAAAGAACAATTCTCCTAACTTTTTGTTCTTTTTCATAATATCTAAAATACAAAATATCAATCACAGAATCCTATGTTGGAAGAGACCTTAATAAAAATTTAAATCAACTTCTGAAGTCCTAATATTTATTGATGTTTTTCTATAAACAAAATGAGAAAAAAGAACTGGATATGGATCCTGCCCTTAAAGAGTATTCACTGTAGTGGTGAAGAGAGAATATGTAAATAATTAAAATAGTGTATTTTGTATATTCAGAAGAAAAAAGGACTTCTTCCAGTAGGAGAAGAGGGGAGATAAAGAACTTTCGTTTGGATCTTGAAAGATAAATATTTGGGGGCACCTGGGTGGCTCAGTCAGTTAAGCATCTGCCTTTGGCTCAGGTCATGATCCTGGAGTCCTGGAATAGAGCCCCGCGTTGAGCTCCCTGCACAGCAGAGAGCCTGCTTCTCCCTCTGCTTCTCATTCGCGCACTCTCTCTTGCTCTCTCACTCTCTCTCAAATAAATAAATTAAATCTTTAAAAAAAAAGATAAATATTTGATCTTGCAAAAATGTTGGGTAGGAAAAGCTTTCTGAGCAGAGAAAATAGAATGAGCACAGAAGTGGAAAAACAGGCAACTAAGAAAGAGTAAATGTTTCCTTTTTTATTGGAACATGGTGTAAAACGTAATAGTAGAGAACAAGTTGTAAAGTGATTTGTTGAAGGTCTTGAATGCCAGATTAATGAGTTTTGTTTGTTTCTGAAGCATTGGAGTTTTTGAGCAAAAGATGACATGATTGGAGCCTTCAGAGACTAGAGGCAGGGATTATAACTAGGAGACTTTAGGAGACTTTTGCAGTGGTTAGGCCAGAGATATGGAGGGCCTAAGGAATAGCAGATGAAATCTGCTGCTATTTTTCTTCTTGGTTCTCCATTTCAAACGCAAAAATCCTTGGTCCTCAAATACAACAAACTCTTTTCTGATTTATGTTCTTCGCACTTGCCTGGAAATTACTTCCCCATGATTTTCAAATAACTTGCTTTTTCTTTTCATAATTCATGTCTCAGGCTCAAGTACTATCTTTTCAAAAGGGCCTTCTTTCTCTTAAGTTGCTCTCTATTACATCAGTTTTTTGTTTTCATAAATCACATATCACTATCCTAAATCATGTTTATTTAACATCCATTCTCTTAAGTAGAATATAAGCTACATGAGAGCAAGGACTTTGCCCTGTTTACCATTGTATCTCCCACCATATAGAACCCATAGTTCTGACCCATAGTGTGTGTCTGCCTGACCCATAGTATGCCCTAGTATTTGTTGAATGAATGAATGGATGGATGGATGGATGGATGGATGAATAACAAATGAACTCTGTGGGTTGTATATTTAGGAAATAAAGTTTACGACATTGGACTCTGGAGCCAGATTATCTGGTTTTGCATCCCAATTTGGAAAATTTGTAGTTATAAAATCACGGGCAAGTTATTTAACTTCTCTTTCCTCAATCTTATTGTCTGTGAACTATGTATAATATGTGTGCCTATTACATGGAATTGTGAAGATTAACTGAGCTAATATATGTAAAGCACTTAAAATAGTGCTTGGCATATAGTGAGTCCATGAAAGTGATAGCCATAATTATTACTACTAAATGACATAGAATTTCTTTTATGTTTTATATAGTGAATAGAAATAGGATTATGTTCTACATTTTCTAGACTCTAGCCTTAGTTATCAGCTTTTAGATTTGATTTTTATGTCACAGGTGTGTGCCTTCTGCAAAAAAAAGGAATAAAAATAATTGAAAACTTACAAAAGCTTTATTTTTTTTTTGTCATTTATTTCTAGGTGAAGGTAAAGCAAGAATCAGAACTGAAACTCAAATCATTTGCTCCTCCATATGTATGTAATGTGACATTTTAAACTTATGTTAATTTTTTAACTGTTTTTTAAATTACAAACTAATTTTTTTTTAATTTTCTATATGTTTTAGGCTCTTCAACCAGAATTATATTTGCTTCCTATAATGGATCATTTAGGAAATATTTATTCAGCATCAACTGTTTCTTTAGATGGGCGGCAGACTAATAATGGTGTTGCTGAGGCTGATGGAATAATCCACAGACCACTTAGTGTAACTTTGTTGAACGAAGAACCTGGAACAGATCCCAGTTTTTTAGTAAACACTTTGAAAGAGCTTCTTAACAAAAATCAGGAAGAAGGTGATTTCAACTGGAGTGGGAAAAACAAAGAGGTTATTATAGTACGTTTTAGTAGTCAGGTCTGTGAGCAAATTCTGGGCAAATCTAGCCTTACACAAATGTAGCAGTATAAAAGGAAAGCTACAATTCCATTTGGGGATTTTTAAAAATGGTTTCACCAAGTGAGAGAAAAAAAAATTTAATTACTATGTTAAAAGCCAAATCAAAATACTTATCACACTTAAACTCTACTACCTTCTTTTATAATAGTTTCAGATAAAGTTAAGCCTAAAGGAAAAAGGAAGTGATCACTGCATAGAACCTTGGTGTTATTACTGTAAGTGAGAAGGATATTAGCCACAATAACTGTATCAAACCAAAGCAAATCAACTTTAATGCTGGGAGACATTTGTATTTCAAAGAATCATAAATTTTTATATGATTACATTCATCAGTGTAGTGATAGTTCAGTTCTTAAAAAGTGGTAGATAAACAAAATTAAACCTATAAATAAAGCTGGAACTATACTATAAGAACTTACTGAAAAAATATTGTGTAAGGAAATAAACTGTGATGGAAAAGCAAATATACTAAACATTTATAAATGAACCCCTCCAATTAATGACAACGTCCATTACAGCTGCAAAATATACATGTTCTTAACCAGTTGCATTTTTCTCCATCATCAATTATAGCCATTCTTACATTCTAAGTTTGTGCTATATCCAATAATAGTTCAAACTTAGCACCTTCTTTAGTATTTACCCTTCTGATGTGTTTTATTATTTCTCATGAGACATGTGGATGAGATCCACCTATTTTATTTGATGCCAGTGAGATGCTCAGTGAGAATCTTTACCTCCTTGATTTAGGCTTGTCTCTGCTACACTGTTAAATATTGCTTCCCAGTCATGGTATTACTTAAAGGTTAAAGGGGAAAAATACCTGGGAAAAAAAATTCAGAGTAGAATCCCAGCATTCCTGAAAAGTACAAGGTCAGGTGGCTGATGAAGTGGGCAGTTGCCTACATAAAGCTGTGAGTAGTGTCATATTTCATATCCTGGGCTACTGGCCAGACATTTGCACAAAACCCCAAAAAATCTTTGGTGGGGAGTATTTAACCCTTGAATTTTGTACAAGTGTAGTTTTTAAATTGTATTAATTTCTTGGTGCTTTACTCCAAAAAAAGTATGCTGGTCAGCATATGCTCATTTTAAAAAGTTCTAGAAACACCAATAACTACGAAGAAGAAAATTAAGATTAAAAATAATTCTACCATCCAGAGATGGCTTCTGTTAGTATTCTGGTTTATATTCTTTCAGTTATTTTTTTCAGTTCTTGTATGTAATAAATATTTTTAACTTTTAAAAATGAAGATACAAACCCTCTTAGAGCCTCTTCTTGTATTTTAGAATATACTGTAGATATTTCATATCAATAAATATAGATGTACATCATTATAGAATTCCTTGTGGTATAACTTATGTACCCAACACTGTATCAGTGTTTTTGCTGTTATGAATACTGCTGCAAGCAACATTTTTCTAAGTGCTTTGTGCATTTGTCCTGTTAATTTTTTTTATTAGAAGTTAATGGCTGTTTCTAAGGCTGTGTTTTTTGTTATTCTTTTTCTTATAAGAACTTTTCAACATTGTGTGTCTTCCTCTGGTCACATCCTCTTTCTTCCTAGAGATAACTACTACTTTGATTTTTTTTGAGATAATTGTTTTCTTTATAGTTTTACAACCTAAATATGTATTCCTTAACAGTAGTTTAGTTTTGTATGTTTTGAATTGCATTAAGATGGAATAATATTGAAAGTATTTTATTTTTGACTTCTTTTGTTCAACATTGCAAGATTCAATCGTGTTTCACATAAAATACCATTTCATTTTTTCATTGTTGTAAAATATTCTATTATATGACTGTGCCATAATTGATTTATTCTGATGATGGACATTTGGTTTGTTGCCAGTTTGCAGGTATTACAAATATGCTTTTATGTGCATTATTGTACATGACTCTTAAATGTACATGTGCATAAGGATATCAAGAGAGTATACCTAGCACTGGCATTGTTTGTACATATTCAGCCTTACTAAATAATGTCCACATGTTTTCCAAGGTGGTTGTACCCAGCAGCAATGTCTGAAAGTTCTATTGAACCATAACTTGCCATTCTATCAGATATTTTCTGTCTCCTGTTTCTCTGCTCTACATTTTGGATAATTTCTGCAGATTTTTCTTCCAAATCTATTTTACTAATTCTCTCTTTAGTTGTGTCTTATCTGCTGTTAAATCCTTATACTGAATTTTTAATTCCAAATATTTTATTTTTCCTTTCTAATGGTTTTCTTTGGTTGAACATGTTTTCGTATGTTTAATGGCCATTTGGATTTGCCTTCACTCAAATGTTTTGCTCATTTTCTTTCAAATATTGATTCATTTAGTATACATATGTATTTTTTCCACGATATGTGTGTGTGTGTGTCTGTGTATTCATTCTAGATTTTAGTTCATGGCTTGTCTTTTTATTATCTTTATGATTCTTTTGATGAAAGGAATTCTTAAATTTTGTCAACATGCTCTAACAGTTGCAAGGATTGTGTTGACATCTTCAACTCTTTATCAGTTTTGCTTTATGTATTTTGAAGCTGTTATTAAATGCATGCACATTTAGGATTATCATGTCTTCTTGATGAATTGACCCCAATGTGATTATGTAAAGTTTCTCTTTATTTCTGGCAATAGTCTTTATTTTAAAGTTTATTTAGTCTGATATTAATATAGTCACTCAAGCTTTCTCTTTATTAGTGTTTGCATGGTGTATCTTTCTCCATTCTTTTATCTATTACTGAATATCCAAAGTGGGTTTCTTGTAGACAGCAAATATTTAGATCTTACTTTTTAATCCAGTTTGACAATCTGTGCCTTTTACTAGGGGTATTTAGACCACTTACATTCAGTGTAATTATTGATGTGGTTGGTTTTAAATCTACCATCTTGCTATTTGTTTTCTATTTGTCTCATGTCTTCTATCTTCCTAGTTTTTCCATTTTCTTGCCTTTCTTTAGATTGAGAAGTTTTTTATGATTCACTTTTATCTCCACTATTGGCCCACTATTTCTCATTTTAGAAAATTGTTAGTGGTTGCTATAGGGTAGAGGTCAGCAAATACCTATATTTATACTTTTTTAATTTTTCTTTTTAATTTTTAAGTAATCGCTACACCCAATGTGGAGCTCAAACTCACAACCCCAAGATCAAGAGTTGCATGTTCCACTGACTGAGCCAGCCAGGCACCCCTGTTTTTATTTTAATCCATGCCTATGGCTTGTTTTCATAAATGCACTTTTATTGGAACACAGCCATACCCATTTGTTTACATATTTTCAATGATTGTTTTTATACTACAATGACAGACTTGAGTAGTTGTGATAAAGACCAAATGTCCATGAGCCTGAAATATTTAGTATCTGGCCCTTTAAGAAAAGGTTTGCTGACTCTTGCTCTAAGGTATACATTATACACTTTTAGTTTGAAGTCTACTTTCAAATTATATACAACTTCATATATAAGAACCATATAGCAGTATTACTTCTATTTCCTCCCTCAATTCCTTTGTGCTATTGTCATACATTTTACTTCTGTGTATAACTCCACAATAAATTTTTACCATTTTTACTTTACTTTGTTAGTTATCTTTAAAGAAATTAAAAGTAAGGGAAAAAATGACTTCTTATATTTAGGAGAGAGTTTTTCCCCCCACCCAGTGGTAGTAAACCTATGCTTTGTATCAGTGCATGATCCTGGGTCTGAGATGATCCTTACGGCTTTTGCTTCTACCCTTCCTTTAGGCCTTGCCTCGGACTGGTGATGAGAGGGTTTCCTACCCCCTCCCCAGTGATAAGACCTTTCAAAGCTCATATTGTTGGAAGGAGAGTCACCTGCTTTTCCCTTTAGAGCTGATGGCTTTTGCCTCTGTTCCTCCATGAGAGCAAATAGATATTTGTGTGGGTTCTGAGATGGGAGAGTTTCTTGTTCCTCCCCCCAGTGGCTTAAGTCTTTTGCTTTGTGTGAAGGGGTTTCTCTCCTATGTGCCAATGATGGTTCTTTCAGGTCTCCTGCTCTACCCCCAGTTTTTCCTGTAAGTATGATACAGGCACATGGAAAGGAGCTTGCTATTAAGTATTGACTTCCCTTTGTGTTTGAGGATCCCAGAGATTCTAAACTATCCTGGTAGCCTACATTGGCCTTTAGAATTCCTTTAAATTTTATCTGTTTTCTTCTTATTTCTTTTAATAGTAGTTACTCCTTCCTCCTGTGTTCTGCCAAAGATGAAACAATTTTCTCCTAGGAGGGAATTGGAATTCAACTCCTTGCAACTATAATTCTCTAATGAGTTCAAGAAAAGTTATTATTTTATAAGTTATTTACCTTTTTCTCCTTGTTCAAGTGGGAGCACTGTTTCATCCTTCTCTAATCCTAAGCAGAAATGGAACTGTTGTTCTTAAATTTTAATATCATCAAGTTTATTGGCATTTTCATTTATGGGTAGTTAGGTCTTTTTAAAAAATCCCTTTTCTGCCCTGAGATGTAACATTTTATGGTTTCTTTTTCCAATTTAGTTTATTAATCTACCAGGAACTAATTTTTATATGTGATGTGCGATAAAGTTCCTTAATTTTTTTCCGTATGTACTCTTCCCATTTGTTGATTGTAGTGCAGTTTCTTAAAAATGCCAAATTACTCTTTTGTGGTGCATGAGAATGCAAAATATCTGAGGTCTAACATTATATTGTTAAATATACCTGTTGAGAATGTGCATAGTGCGTTTTACAAGTCCTTTAATGAAGGAGACAAGAGTAATGCTTTACTCATTTTCATACTGAAATGGGTATTCCCTTCCATTAGATATCTTCTGTTCTTTCCCATGGGTCTGTGCTGTACACCTCTACATTTTTGTGTTTAAAGTGTTTAATATTTGACTCTATTGTTGCCCCCAAACAAGTATACTTGTTTGACTTCTTTGGTTTCATCATTCTTCTAGTTGTTCAGACTTTAAGCTTTGAAATATTCC